CACACACACACACACACACACACACACACACACACACACACACACACACTTTTGTTTGGCTACAGAAAGCAACACGTTTCAAAGACTATACAGTTGTTTGAAGACGCCTGAAGTAGGCCAAGGCTCATTCAGAATTTTCCTCTGTGGTCAGAGCAATGACGCTATGCTAGCCACTGGAGTCTACTCTGTTATTAAAAAGAAAAAGAAAAAGAAAAGGGGGGGGTTGTTGAGTCTTTTTCCTTGAGCTTGACTTTTGAGAACACACCCTTGCCACCGACACCCGTGATGCAAGACCTGCCAAAACAAAGGGATCAGTATGTACACTGGGCCTTCACCAGGTGGAGAAAAAGTGTATTCAACTCGAGCCAAGAACGGACAACAATCGATTGTCAAAAACAAACACAAATCCCAGAGGAAATAAGAAGGGCAACTCTCTGCTCCATCTCTGGCCGTCCTCCCCCTGCTCTTGACTTTACCCTATGACTCCACTTTTTCTTCCAGGCCGGGGGAAAAGCCATTTCCCGTTCTCACACATGTACATACATAAGACGTCGGCACCACACAGAGCACACAGCAGGCCTGTTTGTGGGAGTCTTCTGGTCCTCGCTGGCACTTTCCTGTAATAGCTTTAACACCACTTCAGAAGTTTTTTTTAGACGGCATCGTTTATCCGTTTAAGTGGACCCACAAGGACGGTCCGAGTCCTTTTTTTGCCTCCTGACATATAATGCTGTTAGAGCAGAAAAACACGGCATGTGATCCATGTGAATAGACCCTGTGGCGCTCAGAGTTCCCATCTTTATTACTACGTCAGTTCTGACTCACTGTCTAGGTCCGCTTCCCCTGAAACAAACCACAAAAGGCTCACTGTGAGGAACTGACACCATATTAGGAACTGAGCTCCATGCGGCCAACATTAGTGGGGATGTCAGATACACTCAGAAAAGACAAGTAATGTTTGCACTGTGCCCTGAAAAATCCTCCAGACTGATGCCATTTATCTTGTGCATACACAAAACCCAGAGTGCCGCTTTGTTGCTGTGTTTGTTTACTGGCACCCTGCTTGAAAGCAGAGGATGTTTTGCTCAGCATGCTGCTACTTCTGGAAAAATGTACGCGATCATTAACACAAATCATGCATAGTAATCACAAGCACAAATTTAAGCCATTTACATGAGCTAAGCAGCTACTCCGCTGGTAATCTTGTTTACAATGAACAGCTGAACAACAGATAAAAAAAGACACGGCTCGACCGCGATTGGTTCTATAAATACCTCTGCTCCAAAAGGCTTTGTGACTTCTCCCTAACTGAGCATCTTAACAGGTACACGAATGTGAAGCCATCAATGCGGAAGCTCAAAGCTGTTCCTTTCTTTGTTAAAGAAACCAAAAAATCGGGAGCGAAGAGTCGCTCAACCGTTGCCGTCTATCATCCTGTCTCTCCATCTTATTTCCCATCACTTAAAGGTCAAATACCTAAAAAAAAAGAGTCGAAAATAGGAGTTTGATGCCGCTCGGTGTCGTCTCTGGTGTTTAGAGCTTTTGCTCTAGTATTCAAATGCAGCAGAGTATGTATTCTAAGTCTCCATTTCTATTCATACAGCACGCTGCTCTTTGTATGAGTCTGGAATAAGCCTGTCAGCAGTGATACAATTTCACATTCATGAAAATTTCCAGAGCAATCGCCATCCCTGGAACACGCCAAGGGATCACCTCTGTGAATTATGTATGCCGAGCAGGGAGGGAGGGAGGCCAGTGAACAGAACTGACACCATGATGAGTACCTTACCTTTGTGGTAATAGTTCTAATTATAGATTTGATTTCATACTTCCATGTTGTAAATGCTGAAATACCCTTATTTGTTCTTTTAGTATTGAAATGGCTGAAATTTAATGTTTTCATACATCACATTCATGCTGTTTGTATTCATATATTCTTATCAATGAGCATTGTTTTGCGATCTTTTTCTAAATCTTCCATTCCTCAACACAAGCAGCTTGTGATGTGTGATTAAATATTTAGGTTCACACTACACTGACTGAATTCTAAATTCCCTCATCAGATATCTGAGGTTATGTACTCAATCATAATTAAGCGGTTATGGAAGAGGTTGTAAATAATTACGTGCTTTTTTTAAATATATAAAAACACATTTGTTTAATACAGGAGAGCAAATATCAAGAGCGTTTTAAGACCCAGAACTGTGAGTCAGCCTGAATGCTGCACTATAAGGAAGTGATTATGTCACAAATAGACTTGACACTTTGACAACACCCAAAGCTAACCTTTGTATTGTCGAACGCTCACTCAAAGCACCGTCTGGAATTTTCCATTACGTGCTTGAAATCTAGGTTCATGACAACGTGAAGTAGTACAGGTATCAATAAGAAAAACTAAATAAATATGTAACAAATGTCCAGGCAGATGTCTTCAAGCATTCAATGAGATAGCAGGTCTATAGGCATTTAAACATGCCAGTGGAAACAGTCTAGAGGCCCTCCTGTCATTTTACATCAGCTGACTGGCAGTCTTAAAGGCACAGGTGCATCATGGGTACTGGAAAAGAAGAAACGTGACCCTATATAATGCACCAACTGTCATGAACATGGTGGATACAGGGTCTCTCTTTTGACACTGAATCATGTGATTTTGGGGTACAACCTATTACGCGATATGTATAACATCCACAAGTAACCAGAGTATGTAGAGCACACACGGAAAGATACACACACATACAGTACATAGAGCACGTATGTGTGTGAGCGTGTTGGATGCAGAACGTGAGGGTGATACCAGCCCCTCTGGGCTCCAAATGAATCATGTGTATTACATAAGAGTTAGAGAGAGACAGATGACACACTCGGGATCAGCAGTGCCCTCCCCCCTGTCCGTCTCTCACAGACCTCTAATCCTTTCTTTGCCGTTTCTCACACACATTCCTTTATTTAAAGGCATTAAAGAGAAAGTTGATCAATTAAAGCTTTAAAAACATCCCAAAGCCTTAAACCACACCTCGCACACATTTACTTATTCACACATACACAGTCTGCCTCCACTCTGTGGCAAGGACATCTGGCACATTTCACAAGCTGGCTATGTGAGAGGAGTGTGTGTGTGTGTGTGTGTGTGTGTGTGTGTGTGTGTGTGTGTGTGTG